GGCTTTGGGATGCATTCATTGATGCGTTACGTACAACAGCATATTTTGAACCAGATATCACAATGTGATTATCAAGTGTATTAGTACACGCTATTCTATAGTTCATCCTAAATTTCATAATCAGAAATAAATTTATTTGATTTGTGAGGTTATCAAAATCAAAATCAGTTAATTGATCGCATTAAACATTTATTTAAAATTTATGACGATATTTTGATTAACAATAATGTACATTAATCATGTTATATTAGAACGTTGTAATATTTCTAAGATGGAAAGCACTCACTGACACATTCATCTTGTTGAATTATGAGTCCCATCATTTTATTAAGAAATTATAAAAAATGTATTTTGAATATGTATATTATGTAAAATGATTCAAAAAAAACAGAAAAGGAAACATATTATTTGCGAGAGAAAAAAAACACACTATAAAATTAGAAGTGCTTGAACAAAATTCATGAATATTGAAGAAGAAAGCAATCTGATTACGGAGGGATCTAATTAATACGCGAGTAAATTTAATGATTGAACTAGTAAATTCAAAACACCAAAATATATATGAAGATAAGAGAGAAATCATATACTGAAAATGCGAATTTGAATTAGAAGCTTTAAAGAAATGCAAAAAAACTATAAGGTATAAATGTTTTTTTATTTGTCAGTTACTATGTTTAAATGAATATAAATTGATATAATTACAATGTTATTATTGTTCCAGGCGTTTGATTATCTTGAAAAATCTAATAATCTTTCAAGCCGAAAAAGACTTTAAAGCATACTGACAAAATGGTAAATGACTAAGATTTCGAACGATCAAAAAAAAAAACCTTTTTCACAGCATTTAATTTAAATTTGGAGTTCTTATATTAAAAAAAAATCAATAAAATTTGATGTGAATACATTTTAGACATTCAAATTTGGATATAGTTCAATTCAAAATTTGAAGTAATAATCAAATCAGTTCTTGAATGAATAATTTAAATAAAAAAAAAAAACTTCGTGATTTGCCTTATGCTAATGCTCATTGTAAATTTGTTTTTTTAATTTCATGGTTGTTACCTTGAGGATGACACGTGTCGTATATTTCAGATTGAATTTTAAGCAGAGTTTTACGTACCTAATTTTGGTGGCGATAATAGGTGTTGTCACAAGTGGAAACGGAATTTAAGTTGATTTAGCTATGCTTTTCGAACTTTGTCTTGGCAAAAACTAGACCATGTGATTTTAAAAATTTCATAATTCAGAGCAATCAAACGTAACACATAAACATGATAATAAGACGTTACTAATCCAAAAGTTTTGTTATCTATTAATATAGTATTTAATAAAATAGTCTGCAAAATCGTATTATTCAAGTTATTGATAATAATGGCAATATATTGATATATACATAGGTTATAATCATCAAGAATTAATAAAGCTTTTTATTGCCTTTTTGCAATAGTGATATACTTTTGAAGGCTATAAACTTTGACATTAAGTTTCTACATTTTATATATTTTTCATTCTGGCAAATAACAATAAATTTAAATTTCCGGTTTAAGCTTTTCCCTTTGCGGCATTCATATGCAAAATTTTTGAATTATTTGCATTTTTTTTGTAAATTTCATGTATAGACTTGATTTGGTGCACCGTAAATTACATGACCAGACCCGTGACAACTAAGGTGAAGCGTACAACATTCTCATTAATATAAAAATACAAAGTTATTTGAATAAAATCGAGAAATGTAGAAAAAAAATATCATATATTAAAAATGCAATTAACGAATCAACATTTTTCGTTATTGTTGATCTGTTAAATAGAAAGAGAAAAAAAAATTAAAAAAGTTTTTTATTTACTCGTAAAAATTGTCAAATGATAACTGGTAGCATCATAGCATCATTGCAATTACATTGTTATATCCAATTATAGTTTTAAAATTGTGCAGTGAAGCCATTCGTAAACGTAATGTATGGTTTAAAAAGGAAGTTACAGCACACCATAGTACTGAGTAGGGACTGAACTCATCAACTCGTGACCCGAGTGATTCGAATTTATCACTCTTCGAATCATGAAAGTTTAACTCGCGAGTTACTCACAAGTTAATTAATTATGTAATTTAATGCATGAATGAAGTTTTAATAATTAATAGTTTGCATGAATAAAATTTTAATAATTACATAATATGTATATAATTTTATGAAGTTTAATAACATGATATATTTAAAAATTCAAAAAAAATAACATATGTAATTCTACATACAAGATTTTAATAAAGCATTGCAATTGCAAATTTTAATAATAACTCTTGCAATTTATCCATACAAATATGGTGCAAAATGAAAGTGATAGTGAACATAGTAAACATGAAGAATTGTATGAAGAAAGTACAACTACTAATCAGTCTAAAGGTCATCCTAAAAGCTTCATCTGGTACTATTTTGACAAGAATAAAAATGGAATAACTGCAACCTGTAAAGTTATGTTAGATAATAGAAAAAAATTTAGTGTTTTATATAATTACAGTTCAACAACTTCAAATTTGATTAACTATTTCGCTTGTTAGCATAGGATATTAAAAAATAATTCCTGCTAATCTATTAAAATCAATTTAATAGAACTAAGGATAAATAAAAATTAATAGGCAGAATTTAATTTTATTTATCATCAATAATTCATAACCATTTAATATAGTAAAATGCAAAAATTTTCAAAAATTACTATATTCACTTGATGAAAATTTTTCAATTCTCTGAAATAAGACAATAAAAACTTTTGTTAACAAATTATTTTCTTGGAATAAAAAATAATTAATAAATTTAATAGAAAAGAAGAATGTTGCCATAATTATAACAATAGATTTTTGGACAAGTTATCATAATCTGAGATATATTGGAATTATGTGTGCTTAGATTATTGATTCTTGAAAATTTAAAGAAATGTTTCTTATTTTACAACACATTCTATACCCTTACAAATAAAATCATTGTCAAATTATTAGATGATATATTAATTAAATTGGATTTAATTAACAAAATAGTAATAATAATTATTGACAACAGATCAAATATAAAAAAAGATTACTCAATTATTAGAATTTAATAGAATTTATTGTATAGCCTATGTATTTCAATTATCTGCTAAAAAAAAGTTAAATATAATTAGATATTTAATATTATGTATAAAAAAATTAATAATTCATCTAAGCAAACTAAATATCTTCTTAATATACAAAAGACCTCAGATTTAAAAAATATTTATCAACAATTGAAGATATTTTGACATAATAGAATTTATTATTTTATATATAAAAAAGATTTTTTTATTTAAAAAAAGTAATTGTATACCTTCTATCATGGCTTCAATCAAATGAAAATGCATTCTATTTTAAAGAATAGTAAATAATTAGTACATATTATATTTACTGATGATAAATAGATTTTTTAGATAAATTAAATGATATATTTTATAGGTTTAAAGAAATTATAATATTACTAAGTAAAAATACTTATATTACAATTTTTTTAATATATCTGGTAATTTCTACCTTAGTTAAAACTTTAAAAATTTTGCTTCAACAATCTTATATTAAATCAGTTTCAATAAATATAAATGAATTAACAATTTTGATTCTGTGAAAAAATTATAGATGATATAAAAGATGTTGTTGAGATTAAAGAAGTTGAGTTTATATTAGGAATTATATATAAAAAAAATTGATATTTTAGTTTTAATAATTATAATCAGAATACTTAAGAAGATTAAAAAATTTTATATGATAGTATATATTATTATTAGAATTCTGTTACAAAATTAGCATGTTAATATGTTTACTTGATCCACATTTTAAAAAGCTATGTTTTGCAAATACCAACATAATTATAAAGACTAAAAAACACTTAAAAAAATTATATAAGTTAGAATGTAAAATTTACCCAACTCCTAAGTATTTAATGTCCTTGTCAAATCTTTAAAATGATGATTTAAAAGCTAGTAAAATTCTAAAAAAAATAAAAATCAATTTTATTAGATTTAAATGCTGATAACAATAATAAAATTAGTAAAATTGATAATTACTTAGCTTTGAAAGAGAAGAGAAAACTGATAGATCCTTTTCAATAAAGGAACCTTAAAAAAAATACGGTTTTCTAAACTATCAAAAATTGTGTATTTGTATATATCAGCAACCTTAGTCTCATCTAAACAATTATTTTCAGATGTTGAAAACAATATTACACCAAATCATACAAATCTTGATCCAGAATAAGTGAGTGAAATATTTTTAAAAAAATATGGATTTATTCAATACAATATTTCCAGATAATAAATAATTAATATACTATATATTTGCTTTGCAACTTATATTTGCTTCTATAAATAAAGTATATTTTTAAAATACATTTATAATAAATGTCACAGATTATCGTGAAATTTGGATCTATTTTATGTACAATTTTTAAAATTTTTTAGGGCCTTTTTTGTAGGCTTTTTTTTTATAGTTAAGTTAGGATTTAGGGTTAGAATTATTAATAAAAGAGTATAGGTGGATTTTGGTAGGGCTTATATTTTCAAATCGAGACCCCCAAATTTCACAATAATCTGATTTCACGATAATCTGTAACAATAAATAAAATTTTCTGAATCAAGTAATTCGAAAAAATAATTCGATCACATGATTCAAATATATTCGAATACTCTTCTGAGTTTAATTCGTGAGTCACGAGTTATCACGAGTCCAGTCCCTAGTATTGAGTACTGACTGGATTATCATCAGATATCGAACGGCTCCGAAGCTTTTCACTATGTATAACCATAACTGAGAAAGACACTACAGCACTAAAATAAAATTTTATAATGATTGCAAAACTAAGACCAACTGTGACAAGGCGCAGGAGGGACGACATTATCGCGAGGATCACCTAGCCACATGATCACGAAAGTCACTGGACCTGGTGACGCTTGTATGAAATCATAGATCCAATAAATTCCTTATGATGATGATGTTACTAATCTGGCGAGTCTAATGATAAGTATAAATAAGCCACTAATTCAAAAAAGTGAAGTAACCAAGAAATATTTAACCAAAAGAGATAGAAACTCAAAATCTAAAAATATATCAGATAATGTTATTATCTC